ATAGATCATATCTGTGTATAATATTATACTATCATAGATTTAGACCTAGAAAGACCTTTAACGGACATCTGTTCCACTCCCCTCATTTTATAGATCAGGAAACTGAAGTCTATCAAGATTGTGTCTTGTTATTTATGATTCCAGAGGACTGACAAGGAAACATACTATCCACTAAAGAGAAGCGACAGATTGAGAGTGCAGAATGAGACATATATATATATATATATATATATATATATATATATATATATATATAGTATTCTGCCAATGAGGGAATTCATTTTGCTTGACTATGCATATTTGTTATAAGAATTTTTCTTTTTCTTTATTTTTAATTTCAGTGGGGCGTAAGGGGAGAAATACATAAGTGAATGTGTGTGTATATATATATATATATGTATATATATATATGTGCGTGTGTATATATGTACGTGTGTATATATGTACATACATATATGAGAGAGAAAGAGAACTGAGTAATGCTATAGATCTGAAATGTTACATGTAATTTCAGATAAGGTCATTGTATTAATATCTATTTTATTTTAAATGGATCTCTTACAAAATGGGAGTAATTTGTAAATATCTTAATGTAAAACAAAACATATCCATCATAAAACATTAAAAAAAAATAAAAAAGATTCAATGTCCTGCCTAAGATCACAGAGGTATTAAGTGGCAAAGCTAGGACTGAATTTAGGTCCATTATACTGTGTAATCTTCCACTCATCATCTTCTTAAACGAGGCATGTGTGTTGTTGATGTTGCTGTTGTTTAAAATAAGCATTTATTAACCACTTATAATGTGTTAGATGCTGTTCTAAGCCCTGGAAACGCAAAAACAAGACTGAAAAAGTCCCTGCCTTGAATTATATTGAAGGCAAATAATAAGGATACCGATAAATAACTGCAAAATAAATTTAAAGCAAGTTAAGGGACACTAATGAAAATGAAAATCATGAACAACCTCCAGTAAGAGATAGTACTTGAGCTAGTGAAGGAAGCTAGTAATTGCAAAGGCAGGGAGGGAGAGAAAAGCAAGTAAGCCAATTTGGCTAAATATAGAGGGAATTTTAAAAATGTCATGTATAATCAGAAGAAAAACTGAAAGAAATGGAAAATCTGGGAAGATTAGTTAGAAATACCTTGTAAAACACATTAAATGCAAAATGACAATTTTTGTTGTTCAATCATTTTAGTCATGTCCAACTCTTCATGACCTCATTTTGAGATTTTCTTGGCAAAGATACTGGAGTGAATTGCCAATTTCTTCTCCAGTTCATTTTATAGATGAGGAAACTAGGGCAAACAGGGTGAAGTGGCATGCCCTAGTGTCACACAGGCAGTAAGTGTCTGAGGCCAGATATGAACTCATGAAGATGAGTCTTCCTAATTCTAAGCCCATTGCTCTCTACTGCACCAGCTGGCTGCCACAAAATTCGAAACTTTATGCTTTTTTCCTAGATGAACTAGAGAGCAATTTGAGCTTCTTTAGGAGGGGAATGACTTAGTCAGTATATGCTTTAGAAATAGTAATGTAATAGTTATGCAGAATTTGGGTTAGAGAGGGGAGATACTTGAAACAATAAAAGAAATAGAAGATTTCTGCAATAGTCCAAGTAAGAGATGATAAGGTCCTAAAAAGGATTAGTGGTTGTGTATTAGACAGAAGGGAACAGATGTTATAGATTCCAACTTACTGGACAAAGGTGAAAGAGAGAATGAAAAGTTAAGGATGATTCCATGCCTGTGAAATGTGGTTACTAGAAGAATGGTGGCACCCTTGACTTCTGTCAACTATAGTCACCAAGGAAATTAGGAGGGAGAGAGTGTTCAAGGAGGAAAGATAATATATGTGTCTAGAGAGCTGGAGAAAGGAAGAGGAAGATGCAGAGGGTAGGGGAAAGAGATGAGGAGAGAGAAGGAAGAGGACAGAAAAAAAGAAATAAAATGAGGAAGAGGAAAAGAAGAAGGTTCAGGAGAGGTAAGGACAAGGGAGAAGGGCATCAAAGATCAATTTTACTACTGAACAATTTGGCATAGGGCTTGCCTAGGCAATGACCCTTCTTTAAGGAAAATATGAACTTAGAGACCCTAATAAATAGAAAACCCTATCAACTTATAAGAAGACCAGGATTTAGTCAGTGTTCCTCTAAACAGTGCATATAGTGCAAATCATATTATGCTCACTAATCAACTTCTTCATTCACACTGTACATATTCCATAATTACAATAATAATAATTATAGTATTGGATATGTGAATTCACTGGTATAGGGAACTACCAGTGAAGGAACCCCCTCTACCCTCTACCAATTAGTCCATGATTTTCAAGTTATTGTCTTCAAGTGTTTACTAGAGCACTGAGAAGTAAAGTCAAAAAACATTTAGGAAGCTCCTACTATGTGCCAGACACTGTGCTAAGCACTGGGGATATGAAGGAAGGCCAAAAAACCAATTCTTCCTTCCAAGGAGATTATAGTCTAACCAGGAAAATAACATGAAAACAACTATATGCAATGAAGATATACTGAGGAAAAGTTGAAAGCAATCTCAGAGGCAAGATGTGAACAACTTCTTCCGTGAGATGAGACTTTAGCTGAGACTTGTAGAAATCCAGGGAAGCGAGGAGGTAGAATGGGGAGGAAGAGATTTCCAGGCACGGTAAGAGCCAGTGAAAATGCACAAATTCAGAAAATGGAGTGTCTTGTGTAACAGTAAGGAGGCCAGTGTCTAGATCCCAGAATGTGTGGAAGAATATAAGGTTTAAAATGACTACAAAGGTAGGAAGGGGTCAAGTTATGAAAGGCTTTAAAAGCCAGACTATTTTCTCTTTGATCCTGGAGGCAACAGGGAGAAACTGTACTTTAGTGAATAAGGTGCTGTCATGGTTAGAACTGTAATTTAGGAAGATCAATTTGACAGCTGAGTGGAGGACACACTCTACTGGGAAGAGATTTGAGGCAGGGAGACCAGACAGCAGACTCTTATAATAGTCTAGACATGGGGTGATGAAGGCCTGCACCAGCACAATGGAAGTATTAGAAGAGAGAATTATGTATGTACAAGGTAGAAATGAAAAGATTTAGCAATTGTTTGGACAAGGGTGAGGTGATAGTCAGGAGCTGAGGGTGGCAACTAGCTTGCAAGACTAGAGGACTGTTAGGCAAATCACTTAACTCCTCAGTATTCCAATCAATTCTTTAAGCCACTGGAAAAACTAAAACAAAAACAAAAACAATTTTCATAAAGTATAACTTCGTGAACTGTTTGACTTGGCATTATCATTGCAACTGACACAAGAAGTCAGTTGCAAGCCTGAGGACACATGCATGGGTTCTGTTATTCTGTTTCAGTTGACACATAGGATTGTCAACTTTAAACATTTCTTAAAACACAGCTTCTTATGGTATTTTATTGTTGTTCACTCATTTCAGTTGTATCTGACTCTTTGTGACCTCATTTGTAGTATTCTTGGCAAAGATACTGGAGAGGACTGCCATTTCCTTCTCTAGCTCATTTTATAGGTAAGGAATTGAGGCAAACAGGATTAAGTGACTTGCCCAGAGTCACACAGCTAGCAAGTGTCTGAGGCTGGATTTGAATTCAATGCTTCCTGACTCCAAGACTGGTGCTCTAGCCATTGAAATACCTAGCTGCCCTCCCCTTATTTTATTAGTGGAAATTACACCTATGCTGCAGGTATACCTAACCCTTTTGGTCCCAATTAGTTTCTATTCTGCTTTAAATCCTAAAGTTCTGGCATGAGGTAGTTGCATCAGAAAGAACCAGTTTGGGGCCGGGGAATACTGGGCTAGTTGCATTGGTCCAGTTTTCTCTTTAACTCTTAACAGGATTTTCCTGAGTAACCTGAGCCTTATAAAAATCAAAGCTTCTGAATGAGGGATGGAGCAGAAGGTGAGAAAAAGGAAAACATTTTACCTCTAATGTCCTCCTATACCTCTTTCTATTAGGCAAATGCCTACATTTGATAAGTAACAAGTCCACCTCTCTCTCTCTCTCTCTCTCTCTCTCTCTCTCTCTCTCTCTCTCTCTCTCTCTCTCTCTCTCTCTCTCTCTCTCCCTCCTCTCCCTCTCCTCTCTCCCTCCCTCCCTCCCTCCCTCCTCCTCCTCCCTCTCTCTTCTCTCTCTCTTCTCTCTCTCTCTCTCTCTCTCTCTCTCTCTCTCTCTCTCTCTCTCTCTCTCTCTCTCTCCTCCATCTCACCAGCATATATTGACATAAATATCCAGAGCACTTTAAGAATCAACACATCTGAACCTTTGGCTTTGTACTTTGTAAAATCCCAACTATGTTTTAGATGTTTGCTGTATGATTAGTAACAGCCTAACTGATGTTTTTATAGAGGATATGATTTGCTGTGAGTACTGTAATGATATTTTCATAACATGTGTATATCTACAAATCATACTTAGTTTACTACTATTATTTCTGAGACAGTCATTGGCTGAGCTTCTAATTTTGTATGTAAGAACATAATCTTCCTTTTCAAAAATTTTTTATTAGAGATGAAAATATCTTCTGCACAAATATTATCTCCTAGATTATAATTGGTTCTAAACAAATCAGTGTATGTCATAAAGTTTATCAACAACATAACTGTTAGACATGAATGAATTTATATATTTGTTTGATGCTTCATTGAAAACTTTTCATTGTTGCATTAATCTATTGTATTCTTTGAGATTCTGAAAATGCTTATTAACAAAGAGAAAAAAATCATTAAAACTAATTTGTAATCTAATTAGACAAAACTACCATTCAAATAGTAGATGTATGTGTTGTCTAAGCATCTAAAGACATACCAATATAAGTAACATTGTGTATGAGTTAGAGTAATGACATTAAAAGAATTAGATTTCTTTTCCACTTACAGTAATAAGATGGTAAAGTAGCCAATTGTTTTTAAAACATGCATATTTTTACTTTCAGTAATGAGCCCTAAAATATATACTAGCAAGCATAGTTAATTGTTACTTACCCTTACAACTTGGCCTTTCATCTCCTACACTCCACGTTCCATTAGCTTGGCACTGTATGAGCCTTTGACCATCTAAATAATAACCAGGGCTGCAACTTAGTACGACTTGAGCTCCATACTCATTCACTGACCCAGAGACTAGTCTCCAGATAACATGCTCTGAAAGTTCGGTCTCAATACTAGGGCAAGTCACCGCTAGGAAGGAAGGAAAGAAGAAAATGTGAGTATTCATACTTTTTCTGAAGAAATCACTTCAGGGAAAATGAATCATGGTTCAATCATAAGGGTTCGTGTTCCATAAAACTGAAAATGCTAAGAATAGTTTTAACAAAACGCATGCTATTTCAGGTTTTAACAGATTTGCCATGAAGCTTAAGCATATGTAAGAGAGTAGGCAAAAGTTTATAATAAATGTTAGAACATGCACATTAGAGAATCACAAAATTTCAGAGCTGGAAGACAGCCAAGAAATAATCATGCCCAATGCTCTCATTTTACAGATGAGTACACTGAAGTACAAAGATGAGTCACATGGTTAGCCAGTTCTACAGTTAAGAAGAGAACACAGGTTACCTAACTTGAGTGCCTTTTAAGCTGAGTGGTCATATTTTAAGATGAACACCCTATGGGAACAGACTGTACTTTATGTCTTTTGTTTTTTTCTCGATAGCAATAAGTACAGTGCTGGCCACATAGATGATTTTTACTGATGAGCATAAATTGAGTCAAAAGAACCCCTACCTTTCCTACCTGATTCCACATCACTTCCTTTCACTATTCTTTGTTCTAATAAAACTGGACTCAGTTATTTCTTGAATTTGACATTCCATTTCCCAATCTCACACCTCTGCCATTGGAATAACCTACCCAAGCCCCTCCTATCTCATGCTTTTTCAATATCTCTGCCTCTCAGGAGTCTCATCTTCCTTGAAAGCTAATTTCTGGTGTCATTTCTTTTTTAAATGCATTCCTGATTTCCATTCCCACACCAATATTTGCTAGTGTTTTCTCTTTTCAAACTATCTTGCATTTATTTATCTGTTCATACATTATGTCTTATTAGTAGGACAAAAGTTTCTTGGGGCAGAGATACTTCAGTTTTGACTTTGCATGGTTCCTGGCAGAGCACAGGTATTTATGTTTGTTGAAGTAAATTAAGTTGAAATAAACTGAATAAATAAACTTCAAGGAATAAATGTACTAAAATCCAATGAATTCTCACCTCATTAGTCTCAGTTTCCTACAGTCAATAAATCAATCAATCCATCAATAAAAATTTATTAATTACCTATTATGTACCAGGCACTGTACAAAATGCTGAGAATACAAAAAGGGACAAAAGACAAAAGAGGAGTAAACCCTCAAGGACTTTATAATCAAATATGGGAGACAACATGTAAACAAATATATAAAAAATGAACCATATAAAGGATAAATAGGAAATAATTAACAGTGGGGAGACACTGAAATTAAGATGAATTGGGAAACATGTCCTGTAGAAGGTATGATTTTATTTGGGATATAAAGGAAGCCACAGAGGTCAGTAGTCAAAGTGGTGGAGAGAGGATGTTCAAAGCATGGGAGATAGATAAAATGCTCAAAGCCCAGAGATGGAGTGTTTTGTTTGTGGAACAGACCAGAGGACAGTCACTGGATAAAAGAGTATATTTTGGGGCATAAGGTATTAGAAGACTGGAATGATAATGAGGGGCTGGATTATGAAGCTTTTTGAATTCCAAATTGAACATTTTGTATTTGCTCCTGGATGTAACAGGAAGCCACTGGAGTTTACTGAGTAGAGAAGGGTGATATGATCAAGCCTGCCTTGTAGGAAAATCACTTTAGTAGTTGGATGGAGGATGGATTGGAATGGGAAGAGACGTGAAACAGGCAGACCCACCAGTAGGTTATTGTAGTAATCGAGATATGAGGTAATGAAAGTCTGTACTGCCAAATCAGAGAAGGGAAGAAGGCACATTCAAGAAATGTTGCAAAGGTGAAATCAGCAGGCCTTGGCAACAGCATGGATATAGGGGGTGAGAGATAGGAATTCAGGATGACTCCTGAATTACCAGCTGGAGAGACCAGAAGCTTGGTGCTGCCCTCCACAGTAACAGGGAAGGTGTGCAGGGGAGAGGGATTTTAGGGAGAAATGGTAATAAGTTCCATTTTAGACATAATGAATTTAAGGTATATACTGGGCATTTGTAGTCAGACTGAGGCAGGAAAAATAGATTTGAAAATCATTAGCATAGATAGAGATGGTAATTCAATCCATGAAAAGGTGATGAGTTCACCAAGTGAAATAGTATAGAGGGAGAAGAGAAGAGGTCCCAGAATAGAACCTATGATTAAAGGGTATTATTTGGAGCAGGATACAGCAAAGGAGACAGAGAAGAATGATCAGATAGGAGGAAAAACAGGGGGAAATGGTTTCCCAGAAACCTAGAGGGAAGAGAATATCTAGGAGGAGAGAGTAATTAAAATATCAAAGGCTGCAAAGAAGTCAAGGAGAATGAGGACTGAGAAAAGTCCATTGCATTTGGCAACTAAAAGATCATTAGTAAGTTTGGAGAGAGCAGTTTTAGTGGAATAAGATCAGAAGCCAGATTGTAAGGAGTTAAAAAGAGAATGAGAGGAGAGAAAATGGAAGCCACCTATTCCAGATAGCTTTTCTGAGTTGTTCAACTACAAAGACAGACTAGATATAGGATGACAGCAGAGATGGAAGGATCAATGAGTTTTTTTTTCAAGATATAGGAAACATGGAAATGTTTGTATGCCATAGGAAATTAGCCAGTAGAGAAGAGATTGTAAGTAAGTGACAGAGGGACAATCTGTTTGAGGAGACAGGATGGAATGGAATGAATTGAATAAGTAGAGAAGTTGACCTTAGTGAGGAGTAAGCCTACTTCATTATGTGAAATTGAGGTGAATTAGGAAAAAAAATCACAGAAGGCACCATACTAATAGATAAGGAAGAAGGGAGCAGAGGGAATTCACGGCAAGTGGCCTGAATGTTATTTGTAAAATATGAGGCAAGGCTTTCAGCTAAGAAAGTAGGAGAAGGAGAAGCCATAGATGTTTGATGGGAGATGAAAAGGTTTGGAAGAGTCACTGTGGAAAGTGTGATAATGAGTTGAATAAGGAGTTATACTAGAACTGACTAGTAGCAGTAAGGGCCTTGTTGAGGTCATATAACATAAATCTGTAGTGGATCCAGTGAAAATGGTTGCATGATTTCCTCTACCTTCGTTCAGTAGCACACATATAGGCAAGAAGGTGACAAATGGCAGGAGTGATCCAAAGCTTAGGTTTGGCTGGGCTTAATCTGAGACATAAGAGGGCTAGGGATTCAAGACAGGAAGACAGTGTAGAATTTAATTGGTTCACCAAGGAGGCAAGATGGGGAGAAGAGAAGAGAGTAGCTACTACAGAGGTGATGGTCTCAAAGATAATTGAGGTATCAAAGGATTGGAGATCATGGTATAGATGAAGAATGCAATGGAAGTCAATGGGTGAGGTGAAGAGCCAATAGATTTTGGTCAGATTAGGGGATTTCCTAATATATATAGGGGATATATATTTCCTATATATATAGGGGATATATATATATATATATATATATATATGTGTGTGTGTGTGTGTATATATATATGTATATATATATATGTATATATATATATATATACATATACACACATATAGATAGATAGACAGATAGATAGATAGATATTATTTAAGAGCCAGTCTAACTAAATTTGGAGAAACCCATCACCAGGTAGATTGTAGAGGGATGAATTGTTTGACCACTCCAAACTCCAAATCTCAAAGATCATCAGCTCAGTTGCAGAGTGGTTGCAATTTGCATCAGCTGAAAAAGTTTTCAGCTCCTTGAAGTATTAGATGATTTTAGAGAGAAAGGACATGGGATTAAGGATCATAGAGTTGTAATTGGGAGGTATCTTAGAAGGTAATGAATCAACACCCCTCACTTTTCATGTAGCTCTTAGAATAATACTGTCAATCTCAGTGAACTACTCACAAAATTGGGCTTTTCAGTAAATTAACCAGCAACTCAACATTTCATAAATCCAAGATTTCAATCCTTTTACATTTGGTAGATAGTATTGGTTGAAAAAGAAAAAAGAACACATAGCCTTGTTGCTTCTTGTTGTGAGCTACTATGAACTTTCCTAGACTGATTCTTTAACACTCAAAGTGCATCATCACCCTATAATAAATCCTTTGTGCTCCTGTGGCATTACTAAAGGTCAGGGTTGCCTCCTTGAGTTGTTAGATTAGAATTTTAGTCAAGTCTGGTAAAATTAATTGAAGAATAAGGCAGCTAGATGGCACAGTGGCTAGAATGCTGTACTCGATATCAGGAGGACCTGAGTTGAAATCAAGCCTCAGACACTTACTAGCAATGAAATCCAAGCCAATCACTTCATCCCTTTCTTGGCTTAGTTTTCCCATCTATAAGATGGGAATAATAATAGCACCTACTCCCCAGGGTTGTTGTGAAGACAAAATGAAATAATATGTGCAGAGTGCTCTGTATAGTTTAAAGTGCTATATAGATAAAAGGGAGGGCAGACTAGGAGAAGGGATATTCACAATGCATGTGACCTTGGGGTAGGGGGAGGGGCGAGATGGGGTGAATTTGGAACTCAAAATCTTGTGGAAGTGAATGTTGAAAACTAAAACTAAATAAATTTTTTAAAAAAGTAAAGTGCTATATAAATCCTAGCTATTAATACTTTATATTCCATTTTTTAAAATTGAAAATCTATCTAAAGAATTTCTAAATTTTCATTCTACATACCTGGCAGCATTTAATAAGTATACACCAAAAAAAAAATGCCTCACAACTTATTTTTTGTTTATTTCTGGGTCATTTCATTAGCTTCCATGAGTTCAATTATCCTCTCTATGCAGATTATTTCCAGGTATGTGTATGTATGTATATATGTGTGTATGTATATATGCATGTATGTATACTCTTCATCTCAGTCCTGAGCTCTTATTTCACACATTAAATGCCTCTTGGATGTCTTAAATTGATATAACACCTTAAACTCAATGTAATGAAAACAGAACTCATTATCTTTTCCCCACTTTCTTTTTACTCTCAGAGGTGCCATTATCCCAGTCATGTAGACTCAGAACTATGGTATCTTTCTCCATTCTTT